TATATAGTATTAAATGGCAGAAGTATGTTTAGGGCCACTTTAGAAATGGTTGGAAATTCTGTTTTGATCACAGGCCAAAGTTCATTTAATAGTTTTTATTTCATGTCAGTGATTCAAATAGCAATTTTATTTGTTCATTTATTTACTTATTTTATTTTATTTGAAACAGGGTCTTGCTATGTAGACCAGACTGGCCCCAAACTCACAGAGCTCTGCTTTCTTCTGCCTCCCAAGTGCTGGGATCAAATGTGTGTGCCACCATACCTGGCCTTCAAACAGCAATATTTATTTATTTATTCATTTATTTATTTTTTAATTTTTATAAAAACTTTATTGAGAATTTCATACATGCATAAAAGGTGTTTTGATCAAATCCATGCCCACTCCCTCCCCTCCAACATTCCCCCCCCCAAGAGGTAACCCTAAAATCTTCTAAGGATTAGATACAAGCTCCCAAATACTTTTGACATTTTTGGCCTTAGAACAGAGTATATTGCTAACAGGCTTGTTTATTTATTTTGAGACTGAGTCTCATTCGATAGCTCTGGTTAGCCTGGAACTCACTATGTAGACCAAAGTCTTGAACTCACAGAAATCTGCCTGCCTCTACTGCCAAAGGGCTGGGATCAAAGATGTGTGCCGCTGCACCGGGCCCTCAAACAGTAATTTTTAAAATCAAACATTTTAGCAGAATATAATCTAAAGTTAATAGTAATTTGATATGTGCTGAGGAATGACAGTAGGAAAATATTAAAAGTTTTTGTTTCTGTAATTAAACCATTATGTTTCTTTTTGTTGTTGGTAGTGTGGGGCGTATTTTTTGTTTGTTGTTTGTTCAAGACAGGATCTCCTGTAGTCTAGACTGGCTTAGAACTTCCTGTATAGCTAAGAATGATCTTGAACTCCTAATTCTCCTGCCTCTACCACCTCCCAAGTTTGAGGAATTAAAGGCATGTACCACCACACCTGGCCTTAAACTACTATCTTTCTGTAAGAGCAGAAAACTTTGTATGTACAAGAAAAACAATGCAATTTGCATTGAGCAAAGTGTTTCAGGTATGTTGATTGATGTTGCGTGTTATGATGGCACGCACAGTGCAAAGTACATGTGTATATTCAGAACTAAGGCACAGTGAAGTTATGCAATATGACGTGGGTGAAGACTGCCAAAAAATACCTTGGATTAATCACATATGATTTTGAATTAATTTTTGGTTATTGGATGTTCAGAAAACTTCTGTTGCCAAATTTTTCCTGATCCCCATGTTCAATTATGTGATCCCTTATGGGTTTAAGAAGCAGGGTTCTGGGAAAATAGTGGTTCTGTTAAAATAGGGTACTCAGGAGCAGAAGCCCATCTTATTAGGGAGTAATTTGGACAGTGGAGGCTGAGGTGCTGGTAGAAAATAGAGGAAATGTCCAGTCAGTATAGTAAGACCTCCAGGTGGGGACCTAGGACCACCCCCACCTTGTGGTAAGGGCTAGTTACAAGAGGGCACACACCCTGAGAGAGAAAAGGGGCTTGAACCTAGAAATGGCCTTCCAGATAGCACAGGGAGTGGGTACAGAAACTCACTTCTTTTGGAGATAGAAATGTTTAAATTTTCACCCTTATAAACTTGGACAAAGGAAAGATGGGGACATCTATTTTGCCTTTTTTTTTTTTTTTTTTTTTTTTTTTTTTTTTGTTTTTTTGAGACAGGGTCTCCCTGTAGCTCCAGCTGCCTGGAACTTGCTCTGTAGACCAGGCTGGCTGGCCTCGAAGTCACAGAGATCCACCTGCCTCTGCCTCCCAAGTGCTGGGATTAAAGGCGTGCACCACCACGCCCAGCTATTTTTGTTTTTATGTCAGGTTAACAGGGTTAGATTAGCCCAATATGGTAGCAGTGTCACCTGACCTGGCCCAGGACGCTGGACACCATCAGGTGGAGTAGAGTCCAGTGGCTGCTCTTCTCAGGGCAGCAGTGAGCAGGTTGGTTTCTTCCCAAATTAATCCCTGGAGACCAAACATTGTTTTCAGCAATATTTCCCATAGTTTTACCCACTAACCTCACCTTTACCTTGAATAGCACCATCTTTGATATTTGTGAAGGAACACTCGCTTTTTTTTTTTTTCTTTCTGAAAGTAAAACAGCTCGGGAGGTTGGCCTTTATTCTTATCAGGCTCTATATGGATAGCCTGGCCTGTTTTACAGCAATATTTGCTTACTACAATTTGCCCAGGGTTTCTTTTCACACAACTGAAAATTTTTATGGAAAATCTTGCCTGATGCAGTTTTCATTAGTGAAAACACTTTTCCTGTTACTCTTTCTTTTAAAAAATTTATTTATTTATTTATTTATTTTTATTTTATGTATATGGGTGTTTTGCTACATACATGTATGTAAGTGTACCCATGTCATGCAGTGCCCGAGGAGGTCAGAAGAGGCAGGTTCCCTGGAACTGAAGTTATGGATGGTTGTTAGCTGCCACGTGAGTCCTGGGAACCTAACGGGTCCTCTGCAAGAGAAATGGGTGCTCTTAACCACTGAGCCATCTCTCTAGCTCCTGTTGAATGATTCTTCGAGAAAAACATTATCTATAGATTAGATCATTGTTATACCTCAGAAGCTGAGCAGCGGTTTGCCTGCCTGTGTTAGAGTTGTTTTTTGTTTTTGTTTTATTGTTGTTGTAGTTGTTATTGCTGTTGTTTTTGTTTTTTTGAGACAGGGTCTTACTATGTAGCCCTGACTGGCCTGAAACTCACTTATGTAGACCAGGCTGGCCTTGAACTTACAGATATTCACCTGCCTCTGCCTCCTGAGTGCTGGAATTAAATGCCCAGCCTGTCAGAGCTATCTTAATTGGGATTTTACCTGGCCCACAGCCTTACAAAAGCTTGTCTGGGTACCTGTCACACTGGGCTGTTGGGGGGTGTGAAGGCAACTGTAAGGCATCCCCTTAGAGTTTGTCTCTTCCTGAGACTAAAACCAAGGGTGGCTCTTCCACACTGATATAGTCATCCCAGAATCTCTTCCCTGTTTCCACTGACATCCTGTTCAGGGCACAGCTTGAGACCCGAGGCCTCAAAGAGTCAGGTCACCAGTGGACAAGCTATAGAAAACCAGGAAAATCTGCCTCTGAAAATAAGTCCATGAGATTGAGCAAACACTGTACAGCAAAGACTAATTATAACAGAAATTTAAATCGTGCTAGAATCCATGCCTTGTTTCTGAAATTGCTAGATTTGGCAGCGTCTCCTTCCTCTGTTTATCTGTGACACCTGTAAGTGGCTGACGTTAACCAAAAAGATATTGTTTAGACTGCCTTGCTTCCTTTGGAATATCACATTCTTGCTTTTCCTGGTTGGATGGCTTTGGGACTGAGTTGAAGTTTCTGGGTCCTAAGCCCACCTTGCCTGGTTTGTTTCAGTTTTTTGGGTGAGCGTTCCGTGTCTTTATTTCCTATCTCTTGCATCAGTCTGTTTGCGAAAGTGTACTGAGAGATGATTAATGGGAAAGATCAACAGATGCTTACTGACTGAAAGCTCATCCTGTTTCCTGCAGTGTCTGTGGTTTAGTGAATTGTTTGTTTGCTCCCCACAGACCGCATGTGGTGTGTGTCTCTGTTGTGAGTACTGTATGCTTTTGGGTAGAGCTGGGCTTTTTAAAGGACAGTCAACATATGATAAGGCTTGAAAGATTTTTTCCTTCACTGAAGAATCCCAAGTGACAGGAGAGCAGACAGCTGCCTGTCACCATGAGCCTCTGGAGTCTGGAGCTCTGCAGTGTCCAGCTTTGCTGGAGCTGCAGGGTTTTGACTGCAAGCAGTATTGCCTCCCTGTGCAGTCTCTTGTCTGGGGATTTCGGATCTGTTGCAGCATGCTGCTGCTGCTGCTCACGTCATTTCACCACCGTACACCACTGGCCAACCAGGAGCCTCCTCTTGGAGCATGCCCAGAACCTCAAAAGAGAGAAATGCAGCTACCTTTTACTGCTGCAGATACAGAATTGACTAAGAGAGAAATTCTCTCCAATTTCAAAATCAATGCCTGATCTTGTAGAAATTTTAAGGTAGATAGAAAAGGCAAGATTTGCTTGTATTTAAAAAGATGACAGTAGTTCTCTTGGTCTTTCCATCCGTTTTTTTCCTGTGTGCATTGTTCTTGCATAGTTGCATTAATATCCTATATAAATGTATTTTTCTCATGACTGTAATAGCATAAAGACATACATGCTTTAAAACTCTAGGGCTTTTTTTTTTTTTTCCTTCTTTTTTTCTTTTTTAGTCTTTTTGAGATAAGGTCTTCTTGTAGCTGACCTGGAGCTCACTATGTAGACTAGGCTGGCTCTGTCTCACAGAGATTCACCTGCCTCTGCCTCCTGAGTGCTAGGATTAAAGGTGTGTACCATCACGCCTGGCTTTAATTAGGCCTTTATTTTCTGCCAAACAAATATTCCATAATTTAGCCATATTAAAGAATATGATTATTTGTAATGCTATTGTGAACATCTTTGTACAAATGACTCTGCCTGCGTTATATACTATTTTAAACTAGATATTACAGAATACAATTAATGAATCAAAGGAAATCTACACTTGAAGGCTCTAGGGTTGCCATAGACTGCTGCAAAGGCATTTACTGTCAGAATCAGTTCCTAAGCCACGGTTTGGTATTTCCTAATGGGAAGTCTAGTGCTACTCAAGGTATCCAACAAGGCAATGAGTGCCAGAGTGATTCTGTCACTCCTTTTTCCACTGTGTTGTGACTAATTCTTCCTTTTGTGTGCCTCCGCCAAGCTTTATGCAGATTTCTTGGTAGCAGGTCACTCTATTGACCCTAGTAACAATTCTAAGTGCTCACCTTTGTGTCTTTGATGTATTTTGTAAAGTGCCCTCACACACCTACCTCATGTAGATCAACCTCCATTGTTGGTGCAACTTGCAGTCTGGTCCTGGGAAGCCTCTGGGGCCTTGACATTTCAGAGCCTGTCTGATGATGCTTTTGTTCTTCTGACAGATCCAGTCCTGCAGGTTCCGACACACGTGGAAGAGTAAGTTTTTCTGATTTCCTTAGAACTTGCTTTTAATTTATTATCTTATTCAGTTGCTGAGCACAAATGGCATGCACAAGTTTAGTATAATAAGAATTTTTGAGACATAAAGACTCTTACATGTGATGTGGTAGAAACCTGTGTCAGGGAGGAGGAAGTCTGTCCCTGGGGGGAGGAGGGCAATGGTATTAGAAAGATATGTTTGAGATGGAACTTAATTGAGTTTTGAACTAAACTTCTAAAGCCTGGATCTCTTTCTGTTCACTGTATTACACCACAGAGAGGAAAGGTCATTGTGACCTACTCCTAGAGTGTGTACATGTGTGCACGTGTTTGCGGACACATTGTTGCCTGTAAGAGCCTGAAATGATAGAAGAACCCAAGTTGAAAAGAGATTCAGGAAAGAATTCCTCACTGACCCTAGTTACAGTTCTGTCCTTAGCAGACTCTTCTGACAGGACCGCCTCCCATCTGTTCTGTGGGACACTACTGACAGAGACATTGATCCCTGCCAGGTTCTCTGATGTCAGGCTTTCAGAGTCTGCTTTTATTGCACCATTTAAGGAATAAATGTTTGTTGAAAATGACAAAGATACAGGCAGCACTAATTGGACTCTGGGTTATTAAAAGAGGACATGAAGTTGGAGGGACATAATGGGGGAGGTCTAGGAGGAGTTGGAAGGGACAGGGGGGGATGGATATTATAAAAATACACTGTATACACTTAACATTCTCAAAGAATATATAAATTTTTAAAAGGAGGAAACAACAGGTAGATTGGTCTACCTGTTTATGAACAGTATTGCTGCTACTAAATATTGTTGATGTTCATGCATGGTCAACATGGAAATAGAAAAGTAGATCTGCTAAGTTCTTTTCACGTATTTCATCTTCATCTGTAGTCTCTTGACCAAAAGACACTTTACACCTGTACGGTTTTACATGACTTTTCCTTTGCAGGTTGCTTTTCTCCACTCAAGTAGTGTGCATACCCCTCTAGGGGTGTTTTATTTATCTGTGGCTGAAGTGAGAAAACAATGGGTGAAGTCTTGTACACTCACACACACACATTCATTCATTCCCCACGTCATGGCTTTATGTGATTTTGATCTTCTGTTCTGTGTCCTGGGCTATAGTTTATCATTGACTTTTAAAATTTAATTTTTAGGCCTGCCTTCCTCCCAGATCCCAATGATGGTAGTCTGTACACACTTGGGGGCAAGAACAACGAAGGTCTGACGGTGAGAATATTTAACTTCTTTATATACTCTGGGAGTTCTTAACTATGTTCTTAATTGTGTCTGCATCTGAGATAACCTGGGAGCTTTAAACAGACTTCTAGGGAATCTGATTCAGGTCATCTGGCATGGGATCTAGACAGACATCAGGGCCTTTTTTAGAGCTTCCTAAATGAACTTTTTTTTTTTTTTGTCTTTTTTGAGACAAGGTCTCCCTGTAAACCCATCTGGCCTGGAGCTCACTATGTAGACCAGGCTGGCCTTGAACTTACAGAGGTCCACCTGCCTCTGCCTCCTGAGTGCTGGGATTAAAGGAGTGTACCACCACTCCCAGCCAAATGAACTTTTTTTTAAAAATGATTTTTATTATATATATATACTTAATGTACTTTTATGTGTATGAGTATTTTACCTGCATGTGTGTAAGTGTACTGTCCTAGTTCCTTTCTATTGCTATGATAAAAATGCTGACCAAAACCAACTTGGGGAGGAAAGGGTTTATTTCACCTTCAGCTTACAATTCATCATGGAGGGAAGCAAGGCAGGAGCTCAGGGCAGGAACCAAAGTATAGACCTTGGAGGAAGAGTGCTATTTACTTGCTTGCTCCTCTGGCCCATTGGTCAGCCTGCTTTCTTATTCAACATAGGACCACTTGCCCAGGGGTGACACCACCCACATCACTCAACAATCAAGAAAATGCCTATAGACCTGCCCAAAGGCCAGTCTGATAGAGGAAATTCCCAGCTGAGGTTCCCTCTTCCTTGGTGTATCAAGTTGAGAACTAAAATTCTCACACTCATGGAGGCCAAAAGAGGTATTGGATCCCCTACAACTGGAGTTATGATGGAGAGTTAGCTACCATGTGGATGCTAGGAATTGAACCTGAGTCCTTTGCAAGAGCAACCACTGAACCATCATTCCAGTTGATAACTTTGTGTGTGTATGTATGTATGTGTGCCACAGAACACATGTGGAAGTCAAAAGATGGCCTTGGGTGTCCTGCGGGTCGGGACAGTGGAAGTCAAAAGATGGCCTTGGGTGTTGGCCTTTGGTGTTCACCTTGTTTGAGACAGGGTTGCTGTTGCTCTGTTGTTTTTCCACTGTGTATGCCAGGATAACTGACCTGGGAGCCTCCAGGGAGTCTCCAGTCCCCGCTTCCCATCTCCCAGGAGCAGTACTGGAATTATAGACACTCACAGTATGTCATGGGTGTTTGAACTCAAGTCCTCATGCTTGCATGGCAATTGCTTTTACCCACTGAGCTATCTCTCCAGGCCCTAAATGAACTTTTTTTTTGTCTTTTTGAGACAGGGTCTCCTTGTAGCCCCAGCTGTCCTGGAACTCACTATGTAGACCAGGCTGGCCTCGAACTCACAAAGATCCACCTGCCTCTGCCTCCCAAGTGCTGGGATTAAAGGCTTGTGCCACCACGCCCGGCCCTAAATGAACTTTTAAGGGTGCAGCCAGAGTTCAGAATCACAGACCCAGACCAGCAGTTGATGCTATCACAGACAACATACTGGAGAGATAAAGGGCTCCCTGTGGTGACAGGCTTACTCTAAAGACCTTCAACTTGAGCATAAGAAGTATAATTTGAAATACTGTCTCCTGGGCCATTGAGATGACTCAGTAGGTAAAGGTGCTTGATCCCAAGCCTCCAATCTAAATTCAGTCCCCAAGACTACATGGTAGAAGAAGGGAACTGACACTTGCAAGTTAACCTCTGACCTCCAAATGTCTGCTGTGGTATGTGTGTGGTCCCACACATACATACAAATAATGTCATAAAACTTTTTAAAAAATACAATCTCCAGCCCTATCTTATCAGGCTCTTACTTAGGGGAAGCATGTGAATGATATTCCGCCCCCATCTCCTTTGGGGGTTGTAGACTAGCAGTTTTCAACTTCTGCTACATATTGTAATAATCTGAGGCAGGCTGAATACTGAGCCTAGGTCTCAGTCCCAGAACTGGTCTCAGTTATTGGGCTTTAAAAAAAAGAAAAAAGTCCCAGATAATTTGGAAATAAACCCAAACAGCTGATCACTTGACTTGAATGAGGTGGAGAAGGATTGTCTTTACTAAGAGTGTAGGTCTTGTTTTGGAGCAGGAATACGGCTCAGTAGTAGGACACTTACCTCGTGTATCCAAGGCTCTGGGTTTGACCCCCAGCACAGAGTGCAGGGGGAGCGCATAGATCAATTGGGATATCCACGTAGAAATATATGTCTTGACTGTGTATACCCATCCACATAAAAATCAGTTCCAATGAAATTGTGAAATGCAAAATAATAGTACTTTAATACATAATAATACTTTAGGAAGAAGTAGCAGAACACCTTCATGAGTTAGAATATGATTTTTTTAAATTTGTTACTTTATTACTTTATTTAGTGTGTGTGCCTTTATGTGTGTATCTGATTGTGCCATGACAGGCACGTGGAGATCAGAGGACAACTTGCAGGAATCAGAACACTTGCCTTGTGTATCCAAGGCTTCCACCATAGGGGACTAAACTCAGGTCATCAGGCTTGGCATATGTGCTTTTACCCGCTGAGCCATCTCACTGACCCATAATTCTTAAATAGGATACATATACCAACCATAAATTTAGGTTGATTGATACATTGATTATATTAAAATTAAGAGCCTTTCTTCCTGAGAAGAGACCACAAAGTATTTGCAGTCCACATAGCCAACAAATAATCTACATTCCGAAAACAAAATGCCTATGGGGACTGGGTTCAACCCCCAGCACTGAGTAACCTGGGTGTGGGGGTGCACACCCATAATCCCAGCACTCTGGAGGTGGAAGCAGGAGAATACAAAAGTCAAGGTCATCCTGAGCTGTATAGTGAGTTCAAAGCAAGCCTGGGTTACATGAGACTCTCTCTCAAACAAATAATTAACCAAAAGAATTCCTATGTGTATCAATAGAAAAAGACAGATGAAACCAGGTGTGGCGGCACAGGCCTTTAATCCCCGAATTTGGGAGGCAGAGGCAGGCAGATCTCTGTGAGTTCAAGGCCAGCCTGGTCTACATAGTGAGTTCCAGGCCAGCTGGGGCTATAGGGAGACCCTGTTGCAAAATGACAAAAAAGAATGCATACACATAAAAAAAAAATAAGAAAAAAAAGACAGGTGAGCCTTAGAAAGGTAGAAGAGGAAATTCAGATGATGAATAAAGGGATGAAAAGGCATCTTAGAGAAACACAAATTGAAATAATAATGCCAGCTACTACTCAGTGTGTATATGATTACTAGAATGCCTAACAAAAGGAGAAAACGCATGTTGATGGGGATATGAGTAACCAGGACTCTGTCCACTGGTAGAGATGCAAGGTAGTACAACTGGTTTGGGAGCATCTTCTAAAGTACCTACAATTCAGTAATTCCTTCCCAGGGTATGCACCCAAGAGAAATGCATGTACATGTTTTCCCAGAAGACATGTACTCAAACATACTGTTGTAATATGCAAAACAGATTCTAGTCAAGTACATCAACAGTAGAAATGATAAATAAATCACAAGATAATCATTCAGTGGGATGCTCTTAGCAGCAAGAGTTGTCAGTCTACAAATGCATACAACATGGATCTACCTCACAAACATAACACTGTAAAACATGACCATCAGAACAGGCTACACACTCAACGATTCAATTATATAAATCTCAGAAACAGGAAAAACTAGCCTATGCTATTTCGAGGTTAGGATAATTAGTCACTCTGGAGAGTTAAAGGCTACAAAAGGGCATAGGGGGCTTCCCAAGGGCTGGAAATGCTCTGTCTCTTCACCTGATCTTGGGGTTAGTGACACATACATTTACTTGGTGAAAAATTACTGGGCTGTGTGATTATGAGTGCTTTTTTGATTGTGCTATATGTCAATAAAAAGCCTTCATGTGATTTTTTTTTTTTTTTTGAGGCATAGAACTCACTATGTAGACCAGGTTGGCCTTGAACTCAGAGATCCACCTGCCTCTGCTTCCCAAGTGTTGGGACTAAAAGCATGCGCCACCACACCCAGCTACCCTTAATGTGATTCTAAAGTACAGCCAAGGATGAAAACCCTTCATCTAGACTGGATTGTGGGCTCTCAAATGGATATTTTAAGATTGGGTTTTGAGCATCTAGGACTGATAGAGGTTAGAGAGAGGCAAGCCTGGGAAAGATGCATGTTCTTCACCCTCCACAGTTCTCTCTTGATTTCTTTCCACATCACTTAAAACACACTTTTTTTTTTTTTTTTTTTTTGGTCTTTTTGAGACAGGTCTCTCTATAGCTCCAGCTGGCCTGGAACTCACTCTGTAGACCAGGCTGGCCTTGAACTCACAGAGATCTGCCTGGATTAAAGGTGTGCACCACCACACCCAGTCACGCCTGTGTTTTAAGCATTTTGTTTCTTATAATGTTGAGTGATCTGTATCAGTCTTCTCCTTTGAGCCTCTCAATAGCCATTGAGTGTTGTCCCCATTTTAGAGTTGTGGAAATTGAGCCTGGACAAGTCAAGGAATGTGCCTGAGACTAAAGCTCCCAGGGTTGGTGTTGAGACTTAAACAGGTTTGATTTCCTGTGATGCTCTCAGCCTTCCCCTGGTGTGCCTTCCTATTTTGTTGCTTAATGGCTCAAAACAGGAGAGCTGTGGCAGTGCCTGACCCAGAGCACAGGACTCCAGACTAGTGGACTGGCAAGGATTTTCTGATTCTCAGAAACATCTGGCAAAACCCCAGGCATTACTGCCTCTTCCTGGCATTTTCCCTTTTCTAAGGCTTAGTTTGAATGTTGGGATGATGGGAAAATCCAAATAGTTGATTAGTATCTGTGGTTCTGTTTGTTAATGCTACAGAGAAATCTTTTCTTCCTTGGAGAAAAGGTGGCAGCATAGTAGAAGCTGAGAGCCCTTCTGAAACAGCAATGCCTGCACAACAGTTTCATGAGCTGTTCCAAAAATAAAGCACACTGAAGCAAGTGGTGACCAAAGGACTCGTCAGATGGCAGCTGTGGACTCAGAAGAGGCAGTTTTATGATGAAATGTGTTGAAACATTTGGATTCCTTTGAGTTTCTTTTCCTGGCACCCACCATAACTTCCTTTTTATAACCTAAAGGCTCAGCTTTCTTCTTTTTTCAGTATAGAATTACTGAAGAAAACACCCAAACTCAGACCCTCGAGCTGCCTATGTATCCCTTACCTTGCCTTCTCCTTCCCTCCGAGCTTGAACTTGCTTCCAAGCTCACATCTCTTCAGCATTAATGCCCTGGCTTCCTCCCACTGTAAATACCATTGTTATTCCACCTAGCCTGGCTAATTTTGGCTCAATTTTTCAAGACAAGAGACTCCTTTCTCCCACCACTAAAAGTTCTAAGACTCTCTAACTCTCTGTATTTGTGTAAGTTCAGAAAGGTTTGTGACACCCCTAGGACACATCCTGGACAGGAGACCTGAGGGACCTCTACATCCTGTGTCAAATAAATGAGTTTGTGTTTGTGCAGTTCAGGGACCTGGGAGCCAGAAGATGTGGAAGCCCAGGGTACCTCCTTCTCCTTAGGTTTCAATCAGGAAAACTGTAAAGTGCTTCTCTGTTTTTGGTGGAAGTGGTAACAGAAACAGACTGCTTGGTAAAATTTTAATTTCACAAGATTTAGTTAACTTAACCCCCCCCCCCTTTTTTTTTTTTCAAAGAAACTTCCCTTTACCATCCCAGAATTGGTCCAGGCATCCCCATGCCGAAGTTCAGATGGAATCCTCTACATGGGTAAGAGTTCCCATTTTCAGCACTGAAACTTGGATCCGTTTGACAGAGAATCCTGGAACCTGGGAGAGTCTGGTGGACAGAGCAGGATCTTTGTGCTGGCCTTTCTGAGAAAGACCTGTTCTTGCCTCAGTTGTGCTTTAGTGCTGTTTGTGACAGGATCAGCTGACCAGTTAAGAAAGGACTCTGAGGAAAAGTTAACACCATTAATATGGTTATTCATTTAACAAGCTTTCAGCTCCTAGGTTGGCCTACTCCTGTGATTTCAAGATTGCAACATACCGAGGTACAAATAGATAAAATTTAAAGTGAATATAATAGTCTGAGCCAAGGAAGGAAAGCCAGGCCCTGTGTATTAATTATAGGGCTTTCTCAGTATTTCCTGCTATCAGAATATTTGGTAGAAGCAGCACTTAACAGCTTACCTAGATAAGCTGCCTTCATACCTGTGGGGTCACAGCTCTCAAAACATTGGCACACCTGCTTTTCTTCAGCACATTGCTGCCAAAATGTCAATAAAAATGCATTTGTAACACAAAGGAGATCTGTATTTATCTTGAAATCCTAGTAGTAATAATAGCCTGTGTTTATATAGCAACCTCTTTTGGGGGGAGGGGGAGGAACTGAAAGTGCTTATTACCTGTTCATGCCTCAGGAGCTTTATGTATAGTTCTAAGTCTCAAATGCAGGACAGCTTTTAAGTTCTTGCTTGGTGCACTGGGGTACTTGCTTCCTTGCACTGAAACTTCAGAATGAGGGACTCCCAGCCTAGGGATTCAGAGAAAATGACCAGCTAGGCTTCTCTCCTCCGGGCCATGCTGTGGGCCCATCTGCATCTTCTGACTGTGTCACTGTTCCCTTTCTGGTCTTCTAGCTTTTGCCAACAGTATGTCATCTATGGTCAACTTAGAATATTGTATTTCCCTCATCTTTGTACGGTGGCTTAAGTGAGTCCACTCAGCATATTTAAGAGCATGATAGTTACTCAGTCCAGTCATTGAATCTATAGGTAGATTGTACAGACCACAGTGATCCTTGAGGTAGTCAGATGGAGGGCATTTATGGTTACAGCCATTTATGATATTTTACTCTCCATCTTCAGATCTTTTTCATGTTAAGATCGTATTGTTGAGAATAGTTAGGATCCACAAACAAGTTGCACATGTGTGGAATCTGTGTATGATATGTATGTTACAGCTAAGTGTAGCTTTAACAAATTCTAGTGCCGTGACTTTCCCTAGCATCCCAGTATTTTGCTTCCAAGGGTACTTGAATATAGGAAACTTTTCGTTAAAGTACAAATGACCAGAGGCATGGCTTACAAAATAGAAATTCACACATCACAGTTACTATGTTGGCCTTTGAATTAGAAGCCTATGTTTCAGAATGCCCTGTGTCTAGACCATAGATATGTGTGCTATAGGTTTATCATAAGAGTGTTGTTTGGCTGTGCTATTTGCCTATTCATATCATTTAATCAGCTCACCAAGGCAGGGGGTACAACCTGTGACCTGGGAATAGCTTACTGACCCAGACTGAGGTTGAGATAACTTTGGCTTCATTAGCATCAGGTTACATCAACTCTGCTCACCAGTCACAGGTACTTACTAATTATAGTTATGAGTCCTCTCACATGTGGGATAATTGGTAGGGATGTTGAGGAATATGGGTTATGGTTGCCAGGGAGATGAACCCGAGGAATAGCTGAATTTACATAGCTCTTCATTCATGGGGAAAGGACTGCTCTCTACAGGCAACATTTTTCATATTTAAGGCCATTACTCAAAGCAGTGAAATCCAACTTCAAAGTTAAGAGAACTTTTTTCCTTATATAATTAAGTTTTAGAGAACTATTTAGACCATGACTAGGTAATTAAATTATTAGAAGACCCAGTGGCCCAAGAAGCTGTTATGTCCACATTACCTCTCTCACCATAAATATGTCTCTGATGTCCTAGGATTTCAGAGCTGTCCTCCAGCACAGATAACATCCTGAACAGTTAAAACTGCTACTTTGTAGTGCTATTTTTTCCACCTGGGATAGGTGTTAACAACAATGTGTCTGGTAACATTCCAGGTAAAAAGCAGGACATTTGGTATGTCATTGACCTCCTGACTGGCGAGAAGCAGCAGACTTTGTCATCAGCCTTTGCAGATAGTCTCTGCCCCTCTACCTCCCTGCTGTATCTTGGCCGGACAGGTAAGAAATGAGCTTTGTCTTATACAACTTACCTGTTTACAGAATGGATAGGATGAGGGCCTCGACTGACCTCTGTTACTGGATTTGTTCTCTAAAAGGTGGATAGAGCTGCCCTCTCCAAAAAGCCAGATCATTCCCCTTTCTTAGGGAATTATAAGAAATGTAGTCCAAATTGCACCATGACCTACAGCCCCATCATGCAGCTGCTATATTTCCTGTGTTTAAACCTCTTCAGTTGGGTACGTTAGCTTCCCAAGATAGCAGTGCTGATTTTAAGGACTCACAGTGGGGTGTCCCTATCTACCAGGTATATGTGGTTTTGTCTGTCTAGCAAGTAAATGCCCTTTTTCTTCTGCAGCTCTGCTCAAAAGACCCCTTCTGCAAAGCTTCTTCCTAAGCCTTACAGCTCCCACCCTGTTCAGGGTCACTCAGTTTAGCACTCATGTTTTGTGCACACAGACAGCAGCTGACAGGCCTGTTGTAGCTGCCATCTCCCACCTTAATACCTGACACTGCATATTTATATGTTCATCAGCCATATCTCCAGACTGGTGATTTACCTAGTAGTATATGCTCTGACATTTGAATGAATGCATGAATGAATGAGTGGGGAGCCCTGTTACTATGAGGACCTGCCTTACTCATTTTGGCAAGTGCAGCAACTCACACATTTCAGGGCTGCCATAAAAATATGTTGGATTTGTTAAAACTGACAGGAAAAGCAAGAAAGCATTTAGAAAAAAAAATGCTAAAAACCTAAGATCCCATAAATGCATACAATATATATCAATAAAATTTCAAAAAGCTATAAAGCAGGCCATTAAATTAAAAGAAAAACCCTAGGATAAATTCATTACAATTGAGCACTAAATTTAGGTCTGAATAGCCAGGTAGCCAAGACTTTGAATACTGAAGATTTTGAGGAGAGACATAACCTTCTAAGTCCTTTGGAAAACACTGCCTCTCTTATATAAATCACTGAGGCTGATTTTGGGCCCTGGGGAGGCTGGGCTGGCCTCTCCTTTTAGGAAGAGAGAGGTCTAAGCCAGTAGGATTCTCCATCCTCCCCTATAAAAATCAAATATCCTCATTTCCAACTATTGGGATGACTTAAGATTTGGGAGTTTTCTCCCTTCAAGTAAATCCTTATGGCAATTGTAGCTTCATTCAGATATAAAAACCATGTGGGTCTCAGCTAGAATTGGGCATTGGAGGGAGTTGAGACATGCTCTGGCTTTCGTGGAATGCCTGTGCTTAGGTGTGTAAAGCCATTGTTTGCACTATCTGTTGTTGCATAATAAACCACCTAAACTGTAGCCTTAAAGTATTTGATTGTTCCTGGTTTTATGACTGAAGAATTCAGGAAGGGCTCCACAAGCTCAGATCTTCTCTACTCTTTAGACTGCTCTCACTCATGTCTGGGACCTTGGTTCAGCTCTATACAGACTTTCTTCACACATCCAATAGATAGCCTGCACTTCCTGACATGGTTCCCTCTTGAGCAGAAGTAGATGTTAGAATACCTCATAAGATCTGAGCTCAGAAGTCCCACGACCTTATTTCTGCTTCAGTCATTTAGTCAAAGCAGATCATGAGGCAGGCCCAGAGCCAAGGATGGAGAAAAGACTTAGCCTCCTGGTAGAGAGAATAGCTTGCACGTTACAGGGAAGAACTGATAGTAGTCATCGTTTCAGCTGCTTTTTCGTAGTCCTTCCATTGGTGGCAGAAGTTTGCAACTCTCCCAAATACAGACTATACCCACCCACTCCCAAGATTCCCAGAGTCTAATCACAGCATTGGTCTCAATACCCAGTGTCTTAGTATCTGTATCAGGCATGGAGGTAGATGAGGCTCCTCTGATCTGGAGACCTATGAATTAAAGAGCCATTAAAGAGCCAAGTTTGCACTGAACATAGTGATGCACACCTATAATCCCAGCACTTGGGAAGTAAAGGCAAGAGGATCAGGAGTTCAGTGCCAGCCTCTGCTGCATGTGAATCCAAGGGCAGCCTGGGCTATATGAGACCCTATCCAGCAAAGCAGAACAAACGAGCAAAAAACAGGGAGACTGGAGTGAGAGGTTTTCTTTCTTCCCTACCATTTCCTCCCTCTATGTGATGTACAATGATGAGACAGGGTTACTGTAGTAAACATTCCCGTTCAAAAAGGGGAGGATAATGGGTAGAAGATGTAGCTCAGTCATAGAATGCTTGCCTAGCATGTTCAGGGGCCTGGATTCACTCCTCAACACAGAGGGAAAGTTCCTAGTGTGGAAAGAAAGGACACTGGTCCTTGGTAATTTTGAAATCTAGCCAGACATGTATTTTCAGGTTGCCCTATGTTAGGGAGTGGAAAAGGGTCCTTAATATTGGTCCAATTTTGCCCTCTGGGATTGGTTCCCTAACGTATTATTCTCAGTGATTTTTGGTTCTGTCCTTTGAGAGAAATGCTTCCTTTTCCATCAGAAATGGTTATGTAGCTTTCTATCTATTTCTTATTTGTTGAAAGTAGGGAGTCTAGAGGCCCCTCTTTTTTTTTTACTATATCTGATTATTATACTTTAATATCTCTGATGTTACTACTTTAAAAACATGTGGGTTTCCCATGTGTCAAATTGTAGTCAATCCATTAGATAAAAGCTGTACCACAAATCTCCACTTGAGACTCAGAACATGCTAGGGGCCAACACTCTTATGACACTCAGGATCCTTCTTACAGCACAGGGTCTCCAAGGTATCATTAAATCATTTTGAAGTCTTGAAGGGTTTCCTGGACTCATCGGGATCTGATTTTGAGCTGCCCCCCACCCCTACCCAACCCTGGTACTCTGGTTTTGCTTTTTTAGCCATTTTTACTGAGAATCTTTTTCCAGGTGGAGAGTCAGCCCTGAACTATTTCCCCTGTGTTCTGCTTGCAAGTGGAGTGATTGCTTCTTGAGCTCATTCTCTTGCACATGTCATGCACAGCTGCAGAAAGCATTCAGCATTTTCTGCCTGCTGCCTGAAATCTCACTAGCTAGTTTACCTTGAGCCCAGTAGGTACTTTTTCTGTCTTCCAAGTTTCTCCAAGTAGTAGCTTTGCTAATTGTGTCACCACTACATAAACTCATATACTAGGCTGCCCTTTCAGCTTCCATTAGCACTTTCCACACTGATCTTTCAGGCTCTTGTCTGACAGTCCCCTGGTCGACCTTCCACCCTGCAGCCTGCTCCTGATCCCTAAGTCAATACCACATGCAGTAGGTTTTTACTATGATGCCATCCCATTTCTAGATACCAGTCTCTAATATCACCTGTGTACTGCTATATAATAAAGCCTGACACTTAATGACTAAACTCGTTCATTACATGGCCAATGATTCTGTGCTCTGTGGGTTTTAGGGTACAGCAAGGACTTGTCTCTGCCCTACATGCTGTTGTCCATGTTCACTCTGGTGTCTGGGGCTTCAGTCCTCTCCGTGGCCTTTCAGCTCCCACATGGATAGCCTAGATGCAATTTAGAGGGGATTTCTAAACAGGGTCAACACCTCAGAAGGTACTACAGCCCCTCCATGGTAATGGGTTGGTCTGTGTTCTCCAGAGTACACTATCACCATGTATGACACAAAGACCCGTGAACTCCGCTGGAATGCCACCTATTTTGACTACGCAGCCTCACTGCCCGAGGACGACGTGGACTACAGTAAGTGTGCCTACTGAGAGGGCACTCACAAAGTTGGGCTGGCACCTTCTCAAATATGAATGATCTCTGCAGAAAACAGAATTTTCTTCTTTTTTTTTTTTGGTCTTTTTGAGACAGAGTCTCCCTGTAGCCCCAGCTATCCTGGAACTCACTATGTATATCAGGCTGGCCTTGAACTCACAGAGATTTGCCTGTCTCTGCCTCCCAAGTGCTGGGATTAAAGGTGTGTGCCACCACACCCGGTTCTTTTTCTTTTTTTTTTTTTTTTAAATATTCTTTGAGGTATTTATTTTTATTATGTGTATGAGTGTTTTGCTTATATGTATGTAAGTGTACCCATGTTATGCAATGCCCACAGAAGCCAGAAGAGGGCTTCAGATCCCCTGGAACTGGAGTTATAGACAGTTGTTAGCCACCATATGGGGTGCTGGGAATCAAACCTGGGTCCTCTGCAAGAACAACCAGCACTCTCACCTGCTAAGCTATCTCTCCAGCCCCAGATTTTCTTTTTAAGTTACTCTTCATCACCAGATTCTAGACTTTTTTAGGCTTGTGGTGATGATGGATTTAGCCAAAGAGAAGGATGGATAGACCCTTTGAGCCCCTATATGTCACAAAAGGAATTTACTACAAGACATGGCTAATAGAATTAAAGATGAGCTTGTGGCATCAATAACCCCATCAGGAAGACCACTCTAAAGCTAGGCATGGTGGTGCATGCTTTTTTAATCCCAGCACTCTGGAGGCAGAAGCAGGTGGCTATCTGTGAGTTCAAGGCCAACCTGATCTACATAATGAGACCCTGTCTTTAAAGGGGCGGGGGCTGGAGAGATGGCTCAGTGGTTAAGAGCACTGGGGTTCAGGTCCCACATAGCAGCCAACAACCATCCATAACTCCAGTTTCAGGGGAATCTGACACCCTGTTTCTGACCTCCTTGAGCATTGCACAACATGGGTGTCTTACATACTTGCAGGTAATACACTCATACACATAAAATAAAACATAATAAATAAAATATTTTTTAAAAGAAGGGGGAAAAATGCACAACTCTGTGGCTAGTTGTAGCTTAGTAGAGTGCTTGCCCAGCATGCATAAGCTCTGGCTTCAACTCCAGCACCCCAGAAAGAAAAGGAATGCCATTTTTAAATGGGTTCATGCCCTAATAATTTTTCTGGTTTTGACATTCTACAACTCAGATGATAACTGTGCAACCTAAGTTTATCTGCTTAACATCAGTATTTGAAAGTCCCCCTTTTCTAGCTCAGAACCTCAGCTGTTTCCTTCTGTCTCTGAATGCCCTCTGTGGGGTTACGTATTCACAGGTCTGACTTTTAATGTGATCCACAGGTTTTAAATGATCATTCTAAATGTCACATTAGTAGGCACCTCCACTGGCTCCTTTCACCTTAGTATTTATTTTCACTTACTGTATAGAATAGTAAATATCATCAGCAGGAAATTGGGGGAAATAAGCCTATTTTACTTCTGTTAGGCAGGCAGCTCAGTATCTTGAAACTGAAGAAGCTAAACAGGCTCATTGGAAACCAGTGAACTGTTGCAAGGAGATCTGAGGATATCCCAGAAGTCTCTTTTCCTTCAGTGAGGTGACTGCAGCTTGCAAGATTAGAGGATGTGGTTGCAGAATGTGGTTGGTATGCTTTGTTGTTTTCTTTACAGAAATGTCCCACTTTGTGTCCAATGGCGACGGACTGGTGGTAACTGTGGATAGTGAATCTGGGGACGTCCTATGGATCCAAAACTATGCCTCTCCTGTGGTAGCCTTCTACGTCTGGCAGCGGGAGGGACTGAGGAAGGTGATACATATCAATGTTGCCGTGGAGACTCTGCGCTACTTGACCTTCATGTCTGGGGAAGTAGGGCGCATCACCAAGTGGAAGTATCCATTCCCCAAAGAGACGGAGGCCAAGAGCAAGCTGACGTGAGTGAGGGGACTTGGGACAGATGGGGGCAGCAAGGAACAGCCATAACTTTGGCATTCTAGGACTGCTGTAGTATATCGTACCCTGTACTGGAAGAGGCGAGGGTGTGGGGCAGACACCTCTGAGGTCGTGGAGAATATTGAGTCAACACTGGCTCATTTGGAGACCTTAGAATATGAGGACCAGGGGTACCCCTTGATGCTTCAGAGTTTGTTTCTTTGTATGTTTATATATTTGTGGGTATGTGTATGGAAACTACAATTTGGATGTATCTCTTGTAGAAATATATTATGTATTTTAATTTAAAAAATTTTTTGGTCTTTTTTGAGATAGGGTTTCCCTGTAGCCCCAGCTGGCCTAGAACTCCCTATGTAGACCAGGCTGGCCTTGAACTCACAGAGATCCACCTGCATCTGCCTCCCAAGTGTTGGGGTTAAAGGGTATGCACTATCATTCCCAATATATTTTAAATTTTTTTATTGCAAGCTGTATTTATTTTAAAAATTAGAAAAAAAGTGTTAGAGTTGGTATGTCCAAAACGAAACAGGCCTGTTCTCTTCAGCCCCACCTGCTAGTAGCCTGTCAGTGACTTAGCAGTGCTATGTCCCAGTTTCTTACCTTGTAGATTTGTGGGGAGGTTCAAGTATGATGATGAGAATGAAAGTTGTCTACAGTGAAACATGATAAGGTGAAAGGTGTTTGTTGAAAGAGGTTTGGATAATTTCACAGACGAATGACCCACCAACACTCCTGACAGAGGTGATCAGAAGTCTGTGGTGCAGCTCCCACTGCTGTCATGCTGACAGCACAGGTAGCCTGTGTAAGTCCCAGAGAGGCCAGGTTACCAAGGTAGGGCTCTTTTTTCTCTTCTTGTTTTTTTTTTTTTTTTTTTGAGACAGGCTCTCAGGTAGCCTAGGCTGGCCCTCTGAACATGCTGTGTAGTCGAGGATGGCCTTGATCAAGGATGAACTCCTGATCCTTCTGCCTCTGCCTCCAGTGTACCACAAGTGCACCAACATACCTGGCTAGCTGGAATTTCTTTTGCATCCCTTTGTTCTTGGCATCTGCAATGGCCTGTGCCTCTGCGGAGCCCTTGGAGTTCCTGAAAAGCCCAAGGCAGCATGATGGTGCTGGCGGTCGTTGGCATGAAAGGGTGCTGGGTCAGGATCACCTGAACTTTCGCAGTAGGTGCTAAGTCATTGGTAGTCCTTTCCTCAGCCTATCCTGGACACTGTCTAGTCCAGCCCTAGCATTTTGCAGATGAAGAAAGCAAGACTTGAAGTCTATGACTTGCTGAAGGTGGCAGGTGAAACTGGGGTCTGAGATACTGCAGAGGCCTGCCTCAAATAGGGGTGCTGTTTGAGGCTATGATTCTGATCTCCCCAAGTCCCTCTTTCTGGGTTTTAGATGTGAAATGACTTCAGAACACATGTTTCTGTTTTCTCCCAGGCCTACCCTATATGTTGGGAAGTACTCCACCAGCCTGTATGCCTCTCCCTCAATGGTGCACGAGGGGGTCGCCGTTGTGGTGAGTCTACTATGAGGCTCACAAATGCAGCCTTTCAACTGCTTTTGTTCTTCTTTAGCAAAGAATACCTTTGAGTTATGTGTAACCATCCTCCTGGTTAAGAGGCAATATAGAACTGAAAGCATCAGGAAAGCTTCTGCAGATCCACATTCTACTTTGAAAGCAAGTTAGGTGACAGAAGCTGCTTTCTAAAGCCAGGAGCCCTGCTGAATCCCCATTCCTTATGTGTTCAGTTCCAGACTCCCCAGGCTTTCTTCAAGACAGTCCTGCCCTGTCCCTCTTGCCATTCTCTTAGTTTGTGAGAGTTGCTTGGTCTAGCCAAACACATCTCCTTGATTCCCTAAAGTTTCCTTTCCTATTCCTCTTTCTCTGAGCCTCTGTTGCTGTCCTTTCACTTCAAATGCTGGTCTTTCTTCCTTTGCCCTGTTCAAATCTCTTCTACCCTTTGTGTCCTCTCCATGCCTCCTCAGGCCTCACCAGCCTGTCTTGAACACTGTCTTAAACATTCTGTCTCTGAATGTCTGGGGCATTATGCTCCTGACTACTTGTCCCGATCTTTCAGTGTCTGGGCTAGTTGTTTATATACTGTCTGCCTCATGAGTTGGTTACTGCTCCAGGAGCAGGGCCACTCTTGCCTCTGAGCTCCGCAGTGCCTGGTATTTCTTTCACCCTGTTAATTGCATTAGTTGTGACTAGTATCCCCTCACTCTCCTTCATATAGATCTGCTTCTCAAAGTATCTTCTCAGAGTTTTGTTATGCATGTTCTTCCTGGTTCCCAGTACCCAGACATAAGATTCTGAAAAGTGCCAGGTTTGGTAGTACACACCTATAATCCCAGCACTTGGGAGATGGAGACAGGAGGATCAGGAGTTCAAGGCCAGCCTGTCCTACATGAGCCCTGTCTCAAACAAATTAAAAGAATGTGAAAATGTGTCAGTGGAGCATTGTCATGTCCTGAGGGAGGAGCTTCCCTTGCCTGAGCCTGGGGTCTTTGTGTCTTACTTTGATTGTCCTGGACCAACCCACACTAGAAACTGTTTGGCTAGAGACACAGCCACAGTGGCTATGGGGGTGTGCTGCAGGACCTAGGAAAGCGCTTCAGCAAGAGCCCCTGGCTCACTACATCCCATCTCCGTAGCCCCGAGGCAGCACTCTTCCTTTGCTGGAAGGCCCCCAGACCGATGGCGTCACCATTGGGGACAAAGGGGAATGTGTGATCACGCCCAGCACAGACCTCAAGTTTAACCCTGGACTGAAAGGGAAGAGCAAGCTGAACTACTTGAGAAATTACTGGCTTCTCATAGGTAAGATCTGTTCTCTCCCGGGTGGTGGCATGCTGCCTCCTGGTGGACAAATCCAGTCTTGTGGTTTACTGCTGCTCTTTGTTCTGAATGTGTTACACCATTTCAAGGTGGTTTAAACCTGGGGACATTCTTACTTCCAAGAAGGTTACAGAATTCCAAGTTATGTGGTCAGTTCTCAAAATTACTTATCTAATGTTCCAAAATTCAAATACTTTGTGTAACTTTCTGACACAATGTCTGGTCCCTGCTCCTCACAGTAACTCTGTGAGGCAGGTACCCTTACTATTTCCATTTTGTAACTGAGAACGCCGGTGCTGTTCATGGGGGATAGCAATGGATGTGGGTGAGGGTCTGTGGAAGACAGGTCTGAAGAACCAAGAGGATTGACAGTCATAAAATAAAAGGCAAAAAAGATTTAGGCGATCTGGACAAGTCAGAATTGACTGTCATGAAGAATCCAAGACTGTGCTTGGACCATCACTGAATGGTCCCAGGGGAGCTTCTTTTTCCCTTTCTATTTTTGTTTGTTTGTAGACAGGATCTCACCATGTAGCACAGAGGACTCTCAGACTCACAATCGTCTAGCCTTTGTCTCCCAAGTGCTAGGGTTATAGGTGTGTACTACCATGCTTAACTTCTTTATTCCCATTTATTTATTTATTATTTATTTATTTGTTTATTTAATTTTCCTGCTGAGGAGGAAACCAGGGCCTTATGCATGCCAAACATGCTTTACATGAGCTATACCTTCTCTTCATATTATTGCTGTCATCACTAATGGCCCTGAGGTTGAGTTGGAGGCCCTGTTACAGAGATAAGAGGTTGAAGTGACACCCCAAGACAGTGAGTGTGGCAAACAAAGAAAGAGGTAAGGCACACTCTTTCTCTGGCAAGTGTCCCAAGTAATTAGAGCAGGATGGAGTTTCCTTTTTCTTTTTCTTTTTTTTTTTTTTTTTTTTTTTTCACTCTATAGCCCTGGCTGGCCTGGAACCACTACATAGACCAGGTTGGCCTTACCAGACTGGCCTCAGTCTCACAGAGATCTGCCTGCTTCTGCCGAGTGCTGGGTTTAAAAATGTGTACCTGCTACGGGGCTGGAGAGATGGCTCAGCAGTTAAGAGCAATGATTGTTCTTGCAGAAGACCCGGGTTCGAATCCCAGCACCCACATGGCAGCTAACAACTGTCTGTAACTCCAGTCCCAGGGGATCCTACAGCCTCTTCTGACTGCCGCGGGCATTGCACGACACAGTTGCATGACCTACACGCAGGCAATACACACATACACATAAAATAAAAATAAAAAATAAAATAAAGTGCACCTCCAAGCCCAGCCCCTGGGTAGAGTTTTCTTGAATAATTTGATCTGTCTTCCCCATGCCCACCCCCACCACTACACACACTGATTCTGCAATGTCTTGTCTCAGCCTGCGTGTTGATGAGAGGTGGGGTGAGTTTCAGCAGCCAGAGCAGATGCAGGTAGCTGGGAAAAAGTGGGCCCAAGATGCAGCAAAACCTGCCAGACAGTGAGTCTAGACAGAGGGGATACTGGTGCTTGAGCCCTGATCATTCATTTCAGGTCATCCCAGTCCTACTCTTGTTCCCTCCGATTCTCTCTAGCCAATGTATTTATTTATTTTGTCAGGGTTTTCCTATAGGCCAAGCTGGCCTGGAACTCTTGAATGCTAGGATTAAAGGTTTGTACCACCACACCCAGCCCTTGGTTGTTATTTTTACCAAATATAGGCAAAGGAAATAACACCAGAATCTTTTTTTTAAAAAAAAACATAAGTAGTTTGAGAAGTATTATGAATAGGCCAGTGTTGAAGGGGGAGGGGACTAATTGAGCAGAGGTCATTAAAATCACAAGGCTACTCAGTTTTATGTGTCAGTTAAGGGTCCATAAACTGCCTACTAGCAGTTAAAACATGACACAAAGAAAATGTGTATGAAATGTGTACCAAAAAAATATACAGGAGAAGTCTCTACAGCAGAGTTGGAAGATGGTATCTCTTTAAAACAGATGAGCTGTCCCAGCAAGACAACTAGGAGAGCTGACAGAGTGACCAAGAAGTGATCTCACAGCTTCGAGGTCCATGCTGGGCAGCAGTGGGAGTATGTGACAGTCTGCCCTTTATGTCAAAATATGCCTTTGGTTTTTATGGAAGACATTAAAGATAGTTCTCATTCATATTCATCTTAAAAAATATAAAATGGATCTGATTCGGCCCAGAGGTGTGGTCTGTTGTTGCCCCCTCCTTCCCCTACCATAGCAGTGACCTTGACCTGGGTGCTCTCCGCATCACCTAGTGTCTTGTCAGAGAGACACACTGCCATTGGAGACCTAGTGCAGGAGCTCTGGGCAGAAGCTGGCCGTGTGCTTTTTGCTCCAGAAAATACAAATAAATCATAAAAACCAGGTACTATTTACACAGATATGCTTAACAACTTTGTGATAGGTTTATAGGATGGTTGGTTCTAAGTATACAGCAGGGTATTACTAAAGCTCTTCAAAGCCTATTTATAAGGGATCTCGATGACTCCTTAACAGGCCCTCCAAATGCTTAGGACTCTAAACAGTAGGAATGGGCATCAGGGGAGCAGGTAGGACACTGCAGCACAGGATGGCATGTGAAAGGACACTCTCATTTTTCTTACTCATTGATCCCTTGATAGTTGGCCTCCATTATTTATGATTACCCACATTCAGATTCCTGCATCTACCAGCAAGTCTGACTCATGAGTTCTGATGTAGGCAGCTACATGTGTGGAAACCCTGCTGTCATGCAAAACATGTTAAAGCACTCCTTAGGAGATAAGAGACAGTCTGTGATGGTTCAGAACAAAAGTAGATTGCCTTAAAGAACCATGTCTCACTGTGGGTAGAGAAAACCTAAGGATATTGAGGTCAGAGGAGATTAAAGAGGGACTTTCCAGATCAAGAAATGCCAGCTCAAATTAGTTCCTGTCAGTTTTTGCCTTGGTATACATATCATACAGTCTCTAATATGTTTTGGAAAACATTGGAGAGATCATGGAGTGAGGGTTAAGGAGATGACTAAGTGAGTAAAGTGCTTGCTGTGCAAGTGTGAAGACCTGAGTTTGGATCCCCAGAACTCATACAAAAAAGCCTGGTGTTTAAAAAAAAAAAAAAAAGCCTGGCGTGGCAGTGTATATCTCCCAGCCCTAAGTGTGTTGGGAGTAGAGATAAGCAAATCCCCAGGGCTTGCTGGCCAGCCAGTCTAGTTGAAACATTGAGCTCCAGGTTCCATCTCAAAAAAAAAGAAAAAAAAAAATCCACCACAGTAATATAGTAATAACAATAATACTAGTAAGGAAGATACCTGGTTGTTGATCTTTGGTCTACTCATGCACCTGTATAAGCAAGTGCCAAGCACAACCCCATACACTGCATGCATGCACACCCCTCCCCATCCCACCCACACACAAAGAAATGAGTGAGAAGGCTCTGAATCAGGCTAAGAGCTCATCCCAGTGAGAACAGAAAGAAGAGGAACTGACCAGGCCCTTTTAGGCTTTACGTAGAGTCATTTGATTTTAGAGCTAATAATACAATATGAAACTCCATTTCCTTATTTTAACCAACTTTGTATCTTTTAAAAAATTTTTAAATTTATTTTATTTTTTGTGTTTTACCTGCGTGAATATTAAATGTGTCAATGCCCACTGGAGGCCAGAAGAGTGTGTTATATCCCCTCAAACTGGAGTTTACAGATGGTTGTTAGCCGCCATGTGGGTGCAGAAACTGAACCCAGGTCCTCTGCAAGAGCAGCCAGTGCCCTTAACTGCTGAACCATCTCTCCAGCCCCAACTTTATCTTTTATTGTAATTTTTACATAGTAGATACTACATCAGTGTCTACTGAGTACCAGGTAGTCGTGAATAGTTATGTACAGAACAATGAGTGAGCTTCAGCTCTCTACTCCTGCCATCCATCCAACACCTAGTTCTTCTCACTCTCTCATAGGTTGTTTGCCATTAGATGGAAGCATAGGTGTAGATAGGAGGAGGAACAGGACTCCATCTGAGCAATTCATATGTGCAGAAGGGAGCTTGGTAGCCTTAGTAGACTGATGTTACTGGAAAAAGCCTTGAAAGGGGAACTTGAACTTTGAACAAAACATTATAATGCCTCTTCTATGAGTTGAACACATGCACCCACACAGGCCTTGCTTTGGAACATATCCACATTCTGATACCCCATGACAGGAACACAATTGTTACAGCAGTATTTTGCCACTAACTAATAAAACTTGTGTTTTTTAAAATTTGGGTATGTGTTCATGAGTGTCCTGGGTACACATGTATGTGCATACATGTGGAGGCTAGAGGACATCAGGTGTCATTCCTCTGGCATCATCTACCTTATTTTTTGAGACAGTCTCTCACTGGCCTAGGACTCAGTGATTAGGCTAGGCTGGCTGACCAGCAAGCCCCAAGAATCAACCTGTCTCCATCTCCCCAGTGCTTAGATTATAGGCACATATCTCCATGCCCAGCTTTTTTTTTTCATAGGTTCTGCAGATTGAACTTCCATCCTCATGTTTTCATGAGCACTTTACTGACTTTCTCCAGGCCTAAAATATCCATGTTTTGTTTGGTTTGGTTTTTGGTTGTTTTTTGTTTGTTAGTTTTGAGACAGGATTTAGCCCTGGCTGACCTAGAACTCGCTATGTGAACCAGATTGGCCTTGAACTCACATAGAACTGCCTGCCTTTGCCTCCTGACTGCTGGAATTAAAGGTGTGCTACTGTACCTGTTAAATTTTCCATTTTAATCATAATTTTCTAGTAACTGCCTTTCACTTTCTCTAACTGTGCAGATGTAAGAGGGTTTGCATTGTAGAAAAGTGGGTAGAGACTGTTGCTGAAATGTTGTGTTGAGTGGTATCACTGCTTCAGAAACCATTCTCATTCAAGGTTTGTTTCCTCTTGTAGGACACCATGAAACCCCACTGTCTGCATCTACCAAGATGCTTGAGAGATTTCCCAACAATCTGCCCAAACATCGGGAAAATGTGATTCCTGCTGATTCAGAAAAAAAGAGCTTTGAGGAAGTGAGTGATGAAGTGAACTAGCTTTTCCTGTCAAGTGTTGAGAGGACTAGTCCAGGGCCTCAGCTGAGACAGCTGGTCCACCTAAATTAGGGCAGCTCGAAGGGAGTTGAGTGGGACTACTTTCACAGATGTGGCTAGTACCAGGGAATCCCATGACATACCTTGGCCTGAAGCCAGAGGGGAAGGCATGGAAAGAGCCACTGAGCAGAAGCTGAGAGCATCTGAAGCCTTCAACCTTGACACTCCCCTCCCTTTTCTCTGCTGGTACTGCTCTTGGCTTCACCTTGTCAGATATGAGAGGACTGGGACACCTTTGCCCTAACCCACATGGCTCTGCCTTCTAGAGCATAGAGAGGTGCTCTATGGGAAGGAACTTCACGTGACCAGCAAAGGAAAATTGTGGTTTTTAAGAGTCTGGTTCACAGTGTCTTTGTCCATCACCCATGGTGATAGCCAGCTTAGAAAATACGCTGCTTTCTAACACCAGTCTTACCAAAGTCATGCATGTTCTGTATTGAATACTTAGAAAATTATAAAGATGAGAGTAAGATAATATCCTTAATCTAATACCTAGAGGTAGTCATGGTCCAGATTTTTACATTTAACCATCTGATCTTGAGCACAGGGTCTTTTTTTTTTTAACTTTAATTTTTTTTTTTTTTGGTGGGTGTGACTGTGTGTACATGCATTCAAGCATTTGTGCAGTGGTTCAGGTGTGAAAGTCAGGACAGCTTGCAGGAGTTGGTTTCCTCATTCTACCTGGGTGTCAAACTCAGGTTAAGGGGTGTGTATGTGTGTATCCATGTGTGTATCCATGTGAGTTTGGGTATCTGAAGATGCCCCTGGAGCTGGGGTTACAGGCAGTTGTGAACTGCCCAGTGTTGATGCTAGGAACCAAACTCTGGTCCTCTGTAAGAACAGTACTTGTTCTTGATCACTGAGCCTTCTCTCCAGTCCCACAACTGACTTTTTAATTAAACACTCTTGAGCACTTTATATCCAAATGAATGTTATCCCTTGTCACAGGCTTTGCATACATTCCTCAGTCACTTGTTACACAGCAGATAATTCACACCCCTTATACACTCTGGGGAGGCATGAACTCTGGAAAAAGAGAAGGCCATCAAAGGCTGATGTCTTGCAGGAGGGAGTGACATGTTATAATCATGTGGGGAAACCAGTGGGCAAGACCAGCAGGCTGTGTATTAATTTTGTTGGGCAAACAGTAACGACATAGCTGGAATACCAAGTGTTTGAGTAGAAGTCAATGCATTTCTCTAAAGTGTTCCAGGAAAGTTCAGAGATTCTGAGGAACTTGGAAGCAAACTACATTCTTATCTAATTTAATTTGGAGCTTCCAAAAAAATTCTTTAATAAAGGCTTTTGATACTTTTTTCAAACTTTGGAAAAATAGTAGAATTCTTAAATAAATTATTTTAGTTTGGGAATGCCTTGAAAATTTCAAAGCAACCTAAGGAAGTAGCTTCATTGCTTTATTAGCTGTGTTAGGTACATGCCTACACATATATAAACATGGACAGCTGTTTTGGGTTTTTTTCTTAGGGTGTGTGGTGGGGGGGCAGGCTCTCACTGTGTAGCCCAGGCTGACCTCAAACTCTCAGCCCTGCTGCCTGTCCTTCTCTAGCTTCCTTTCTTTTTTGCTTTGTTTCGTGTGTGTGTGTGTGTGTGTGTGTGTGTGTGTGTGTGTGTGTGTGTATGCACACAGGTGTGAGAAGGCCAGAGGAAGATGTCAGGTATCCTGCCTTTTCACTCTCTACCTTATTCTTTTGAAACAGTCTCACTGAGCCTAGAATTAGGCTGGTGACCATTAAGTCCCAGTAATCCTCCTGTCTCCACCTCACCCCAACAGTGGGGTTACAGGTGCACACACTATCACACCTGGGTTTGTATGTGGGTCCTAGGGCACTGAACTCAGGTCCTCATGTTCACACAAATGCTCTTACCAGATGAGCCATCTCCCTAGCCCTAGTTTGTTTTTTGTTTTTATTGTGGTTTTTTGGGTTTGGTTTTGCAGTGGTGCATATGAACTCAGGCTTTTCTGCGTGCCCCAGTTAGCTTTCTTTTTAGTATGAAAAGGTATCAAAGTGATGACCAACTTTTTTTTTAAATTATTTATTTTTATTTTATGTGTATGAGTGTTTTGCCTACATGTATGTATGTGTACCACATGAGTGCAGTGCCCTCAGAGGCCAGAAGAGGTTGGAACCCTTGGAACTAGAGCCACCATGTGGGTGCTGGGAACTGAACCTGGGTCTTCCACAAGAGTAGCCAGTGCTTGCACTTAACCTGCTGGGCCATCTCTCCAGTCCTGTGACCAACTTCTCACTAGACTTTTTTACAGTTCATTTAGGTGATTTCACAGTTTTTTCCAAATAGCAAATCAAAGGAGAAAGCTTCTGCCTTCGTTGAAGATTTAAAAAGACTGTCAGGGTCTGAAGGTATTCCAAGAGTACTTTTCTAAAAAATCTTTGAGCAGTGGTAACATCACTACAGAATTGCATGGTTTCTCAGAGCAATTGCTTAGAAAGATGCAACAATTATCTGGTTTATATGACCTTTGATGAACTAACCAGGGGGAGAAAAACAAAGAGCACATTATAGTGCAGTCCTACATTTTAAGTAGACATGGTTTGCCAGGCATGGTGGTACGCGCCTTTAATCCCAGCACTTAGGAGGCAAAGCCAGGCCAATCTCTGTGAATTCAAGGCCAGCCTGGTCTACATAGTGAGTTCTAGGCCATCTGGGGCTACAGGGAGGCCCTGTCTCAAAAAAAAAAAAAAAACGACAAATTAAATTAAATAGACATGGTTTCTCCCAAGTGCATACTTTATCTGTGTATGACCAGAAGTTCTGTAATGATGATGCAAATCTTTCCCATACAAGGTTATCAACCTGGTTGACCAGACTTCAGAAAACACACCAACCACTGTGTCTCAGGATGTAGAGGAGAAACTGACTCGTGCCCCTGCCAAGCCTGAGGCCCCTGTGGACTCCATGCTCAAGGATGTGGCCACCATCATCCTAAGCACGTTTCTGCTGGTTGGATGGGTAGCCTTCATCATCACCTACCCCTTGGTAAGGCTCAGCCCACCCTACTGTTCTCTGTGTTCTGGAAATTCTCTGTCAGTTACTACATATCAGTGAGGGCCAAACAAAAGCAGCCAACATGTTTCTTTTCACATTTAAAAATCAATATTCGCTTATCTTCAAAATCATTATCGTTACAGAACTAGACACAGTGGTACAGGCCTTTATTCCAAGCACTCTGGAGCCAGAGGCAGGCAGATCTCTGTGAAATCAGGCCATCCTGGTCTTCATAGTCTACATAGCAAGTTCCAGGCCAGCTGGGGCTACAGGGAGACTCTGTTTTAAAAACAACAGAAGTCATAAATCATTAAAGATACTAATTTCTGGGGCTGGAGAAATGACTTAGTAGTTAAGAGCACTGGCTGCTCTTCCAGAGGACCCAGGTCTGATTCCCAGCACCCACGTGGTGGCTAACAACCATCTGTAACTCCAGTTCCAGGGGATCTCACACCCTCTTCTGGCCTCTATGGGCATTGCATGACATGGGTGTACTTACACGCAGGCAAAATACTCATACATATAAAAATAAACTTTTTTTTTTCAGTCTTTTCAAGACAGGGTCTCCCTGTTGCCCAGGCTGGCCCAGAACTTGCTATGTAGTCCAGGTTGAACTTGAACTCATAGAGCTCTGCCTGCCTCTGCCTCCCAAATGCTGGGATTAAATGGAAAATTTTTTTTTTATTTATTTTTATAGAGACAGGCGGATCTCTGAGTTCGAGGCCAGCCTGGTCTACATAGCGAGTTCCAGGCCAGTTGAGGTGACACAGGGAGACCCTGTCTCAAAAAGACCCAAAAAAAAAAAAAAAAAAACTTCTCAGAAAAGAACAACTTTATACCTAAATCTTTTTTGTTTGTTTCTTTCTTTGGTTTTTTGAGACAGGGTCTCTCTGTAGCCACAGCTGGCTCAGAACTCGCTATGTAGACCAGGCTGTTCTCAGTCTTACAGAGACCCACCTACCTCTGCTTCCCGAGTGCTGGGATTAAAGGCCTATGCCAGCACACCCAGCTCAAAGATTGCCTGTGAGATCAGCTAGACTGAAAAAGGTGATGGGTGGTGCCTTTAATTTACTAGTTAGAGATAAGCAGCAAAGTGATGCATTTAAGTTGTTAGTGATGGGATAAGACAGTTCCTTTAGCAAGTTGATCAAGCGTTGCAGTTATTTCCTTAGAACACAGTGCACAGGCAGCTCACATCCTCTTAGGTTGGAAATGACAAACTCTTTGTATACTTTGGGCAAAATATGTTCACCTAATTGTTTATTATTTTTTATTTTATGAGTGCCTATATGTGCATAAGTGCATCCATGTCATGCAGTGCCCGCAGAGGTCAGGAGAGGGCATTGGATCCCCTGCAACTGGAGTTACAGACAGTTGTTATCAACCATATGGGTGCTGGGAATCAAACCTGGGTCCTCTGCAAGAGCAGCCAGTGCTTTTAACTGCTGAGCCATCTCTCCAGCCCCTGTTGTTAGTTTTTAATCTCACACAGTCCTATGAGATCATTACTATTTATCTCCTCTCCACAAAAGAAAAGGCTAGGCTTAGAGAAGCTGAGTGCCTTCCCAGGTACTCAGCTAGTAGGTGACATTTCCAGGACTTCAGTCCCATGTTCAGAGGGAAAACCAGCCAGCTAGAAAAGTCCCCAGGGGTTGTCAGCTATACCCCCGCCCCCTTTAGTCCACCTTCCAGTCCCAAGCAGGAATAATGGCAGATTACTGATGCATCTCATGATGATAGAGCAATGTTTTCAGAGTACTGGAGAGGAAGGTGCTGGGAGGCAGCATGAGGGAACCATGGAGCTAGACCTTGGTCAGACACCATTGTTCAGCCCCACAGTGTCCTATCCTGGCTATGTGGCTACAGGTGGGTGGCAGCAAGGTTCTAGGCTGCAGCTTCCAGTCTGCAGGTCACCCTGCTCTAACCTCTATTAAGGCACAGTCATGGTGGGCCAGGGTGCACCCCCAACCACCATACTTACCTACTTGCTATCCATTTTGCCCATTTGCCTTCATTTTTGCAACAACTCTCAGATTTTCTTGAAAGCCACAGACTTCTAAAATAAAATAGAACCTCCACCTGATTCAGCCCTCTTTCTAGGGCAGAGTTCCTGCAGGTATTCCTCCCAGGTGGCCACTCAGCCTCATTCAGCCCTCTCCAGGGTTGGAGTGTGGCGCATATGAAAGGGTCTGACTGGCAGTAAGACTTCCAACCATTGAGCCTGTCCTGTCTCCTGTGGCTTCTCCTTGATCTTGTACCTTTGAGTTCAAATAAAGTCCACTTGCCTCCTCGGCCACACAGACTGCCCCTCCCTGTGGCTTGTTTCCTAGCTACTCTAGTCTGGATGTGGGTTTTCTCTTCACAGAGCGTGCATCAGCAGCGCCAGCTCCAGCACCAGCAGTTCCAGAAGGAACTGGAGAAAATCCAGCTCCTGCAGCAGCAGCAGCTGCCCTTCCACCCACATGGAGACCTGACCCAAGACCCTGAGTTCCTGGATACGTCTGGCCTCTTCTCAGAAAGCTCAGGCACCAGCAGCCCCAGCCCATCCCCCAGAGCTTCTAACCACTCACTTCACTCCAGCAGCTCTGCTTCCAGGGCTGGCCCAAGCCCTTTCCTGGAGCAGGATGACGAGGGTAAAGACATCCCGAGAGCTCACCATGTTCTCCCTTGACTTCCGCCCACATGTAGGTCTCTGGGGTGGAGGTCTTCTGCCCCAACCCTTGATACCTCCTTTTTGAGGACCTTCTCCTTCATCTTACCCCATAAGGTTGAGGACTACTGTTGACCAAAAGGAAGCTTCCCATCTGGCTTAAGAGAATCCCCCAGGTTAGCTACTGGTCAAGTCAAAAAGTGTAGCTGTGACCCACTTTGCTCTTGGGGCGTGGGCTTAGCCAGCTGTCAGAGCCTAGTTCAAGCAGTCTTCATTTTACCTGTCTCACAAGCACTGGAACATTTTCGACATGGATCTTTTTTATTGTTGTTGCTCACCTTTAAACATGTAAGTAAATCTAAATATGAGACTCTAGGGAGTCCCTGTCTTCTGGAAGTTTAAGGCTATCAAGATAATATAAAGGCAAAAACAGAATTCAGGGGTAGAGAATAAAATATGCAGGATCAGAAGACAGTGATCCTGGGTGTTAATGAATGGTGGGCCTAGCTGGCTCTTGCCCACTAGGAATCTGGGAATATGGAAGCTCTTAAATGCCATCTCTTACTCAGAGATCAGGAAGTTGTAAGCCCTTTCAGGCTTGAAGTTCCTTAGGTGATGTCTGTTTAAAAAACACCTTTTCTGGGCTGGAGAGATGGCTCAGCAGTTAAGAGCACTGATTGCTCTTGCAGAGGACCCAGGTTCGGTTCCCAGCACCCACATGGCGGCTACACACCGTCCTTAACTCCAGTTCCAGGGGAATCCAAAGCCCTCTTCTGACCTCTGCGGCATTGCACGACACGGGTGCACTCACTTACATGCAGGCAATACTCTGAAATACATAAAAATAATAAAATATTTAAAAAGAAAAAAAAAAAAACTCCTCTTTTTCCTGTTTTGTCCCAGATGAGGAAACCAGAATGGTGATTGTTGGGAAAATTTCATTCTGTCCCAAGGATGTCCTGGGCCATGGAGCTGAGGGTACAATTGTATACAAGTAAGTGGAGTAGCAAGTCCTATCAGGTGTGTGAGTGCTTGTTGGGTTGAAGACTGAGTGTCAGGCTCCAGGGACATAGCACGGTCAAAGTGAAGATGAAGGCTGGTGAGTCTGGCCTCCAGTAAGCACCCACGCTAACTGAGAAGTGATGATCATGGGCTGCTGGTCGTTGGTCAGTGCCTCTGGGCTGTGAGGCTAATGTGGATGCTATGTGACAGGAGGAGTATCAGTCTATAGTCTGATACCATGTCTGCAGCCCAACTTGCACTAACCAAACTCAACTGCTGCTGCTTGTCTCACAGGGGCATGTTTGACAACCGTGACGTGGCTGTGAAGAGGATCCTCCCCGAGTGCTTTAGCTTTGCAGACCGTGAGGTCCAGCTGCTTCGAGAATCCGACGAGCACCCGAACGTGATCCGCTACTTCTGCACAGAGAAGGACCGGCAGTTCCAGTACATTGCCATTGAGCTATGTGCAGCTACCCTGCAGGAGGTGGGTCTGGCTGGCCTTCCGTGCCTAGGGTCAGTGACAGCTTTGCCACAGCCACTGCACCCTTTTCTCCTATCAGCTGAGACCTGTTCTAGAACTGTGTTTACTGTTTTGTAACTCTTTTATTAACTTTGCTGGTTATAGTGCAATGAAATGTACTCATCTTAAATGTACAGTTTGATACTTGTAGACACATAACGTATGTCCACTTAACCACCAGCACCAGATGCAGAGCATTTTTATCACTTGTTTTTGTGGGGTGGTCTGCTCAGCAGTCCTGGGCAATTGGGTTGCAGTTGGCATGTCTCTGCCCCCTCTCCCTACTCTGGTCATGGTGGGTATGGACTTGGAGGCTGCTGGTTGATAACTGCGAGCTACCTAAACGCCCCACAAACTCCTTTCACTCTATTTCCAGATCCACCCTGAACATTTCAGTATCATTTGGAGTCTCCTGTAGGCTTGCCTGTATGAGGCAGTGAACCTGAGTGTTGTACTTCCTTATCTTTCTCAGTATAAATTAGTAAAAAGGTGCTTCATTTATGTGTCTAAGCCAGGCTATGACTCTAGAAGGTCTAGTGGGAAATAGTGGTCTGGACAAAGAGTATTGTCAGTAAATGGGGTTGAAGGACTTGAGCTCAGGCCAAGAAGTTCTGAAGCTGTGCTGTGACCTTGCTGGTCTCTCTTTCAGTATGTAGAGCAGAAGGACTTTGCCCACCTTGGCCTGGAGCCCATCACCTTGCTGCAGCAGACCACCTCCGGCCTGGCACACCTGCACTCCCTCAACATTGGTAAGAGGCACCTCTTTGCAAGGCCAAGAACCCAGATGGGGCAGCTAGCTGGCCTTCAGGTGAGAAAGGAGTGTGTAAGTGTTTTTTGACAAGTTGTATGGGAACTGAGGGAGGGCCTTGGCTAGTTAAACAACTAAGCATTTTGAAGATGACAGCAGGTATGTAGGTCTGCCCTCCTAGGAGGCTAGGGTTGCTCATGGTAGCATTGAATGAATTTGGAGTTCTCTCTTAGTTCACAGAGACCTGAAGCCCCACAACATCCTCCTCTCCATGCCTAATGCACATGGCAAGATCAAGGCTATGATCTCTGACTTTGGCCTCTGCAAGAAGCTGGCAGTGGGCAGGCACAGTTTCAGCCGCCGCTCTGGGGTGCCTGGCACTGAAGGCTGGATAGCCCCAGAGATGCTGAGTGAAGACTGCAAGGAGAACCCTGTAAGTAATGGGCACAGCCCTCAGAAGACCACAGAACCAGGGGTCAGTGAGCCGGCTCAGCAGGTAAAGGCACTTGCTGCCAAGCCTGATAACCTGAGTTTGATCCCCAGCATCCTTCCTTGTGGAAGGGGAGAACCTGCAAGTTGTCTATTAACTCCACATGCATATGTGCAAACCACACGCAAACGTATACACACTACACACAATAGATATATGGGAAAAAAATTTTTTTAAAGAAAACTACAGAACTACTCCATTATTTCTCAAGAGTCAGAACCTTCAAATTCTATGTTTGGGGGCCAGGACACTTGCGATTAGAGAACATTCCTTTAAAGCTTTTCCGTGAACTTCCCATATTGTCTCGTTTTCTGATACATACATGAGAGAGATGGGTGTGAGCGATTGTCTTCTTCCCCCTAATCCTTCCAGTCTCTTTTAAAAGCACTGTTTTCACTGGGGAAGCTGGGAAGTCAGGACTTTTGTTTGAACAAACCTTCAGTTTTCATCATTGCTTAGGTTTGTTTTATTTTCCCAAACTTTTCAGAATTTCTAGACATGCAAAAATTTGAAACAATATTACGGTGACCTGTGTACTTCCACCTAGATTCAGTGTTTGTTAACGTTCTCTGACCTGCTTTGTCTTCATCTACTTACCTATTTACAATTTGAATATAAGGAGCAGGGATCCCAGCCCTTCACCCCTACGTGCTGCAGCACTTGTCTCCTAAGAGCAAGTACCTTCTACCTCACCACCCTCTCATTGTCACCCTAAACAGCCATCCTGTTTCCTAATACTTAGTTCATATTCACATTTTTCCAGCTAGTCCTCAAATCTTACATAACTAGGCTTTGTATACCAGAACCCCCTGAGTGTTTTATGTTGCATTTGACTATACCTCTAAATTCTCAGCAGCCTCCCTACTCATTCAGTTCCCCCTAAAATACCTCATTCTAGGCTGCTTTGCTTGTTTCCTCATGATCATGCTTAATAGCTCTCTCTCTCTCTTTCTCTCACTCTCTGTGTCTGTGTGTCTGTGTATTCTTTATATTTCCTGTGAACTAAAAGTCTAGAGGCTTGATTAGGAGAAATGTTTGATGTAAGAATAGATCAGGAGTTATTGTCAAGAAGTATGTGATGACAGATTGTGGGTTTTTTTTTTTTTTTTTTTTTTTTTGGTTTTTTTGAAGCAGGGGCCCCCTGTAAGCCCCAGCTGTCCTGGAACTCACTATGTAGACCAGGCTGGCCTTGAACTCACAGAGATACTCCTGCCTCTGTCTCCCAAGTGCTGGGACTACAGGCGTGCTCTACCACGCCCAGCAGATTGTGCTTTTTAACATTACCTACTCCGATTAGCGATGCTAATTTGGGGTACCTGTACCAGCTGATCCCTCCATTGTATCAAGTAATATGCAGAAGGCAGCACTTGGCAGGCATTTGCCCAGTGGCTTTCATCTGTTGATGATCTAACCTAAAGCTTCAGTGCATGAAACTCTTCTACATTTACTAGCTAACATTTTGATGTAAAAAGTGGTTTTATTTTTCCTCCCTTCCTCTTCCTCTTGTTTGTTTTTTTCCTAAAACATTATGAATTCAATTATTTTTTTTGTTGCTTTTTTGAAACAGAATATGTTAGTTACTTATTGCTATGACAAAATACCTGACAAAAACAACTTAAGGAAGGAAAGGTTTATTTTGCCTCACAGTTTGAGAGTTGGGAAGGGATGGCAGCAGGGGCAGGAGCACTAAGCTGACTGCATTGCATTTGAAGTCAGGAAGCAGAGAGATGAATGCTGGTGCTCAGCTTGCTTGCTTTTATTTAGTCTGGGACCCTAGCCTGTGGGATAATGCCTCCCACATTTAGACTCAGTTAACCTTCTAGAAACACCCTTATAGATGTGCCCAAAGGTGTGTTTCCATGATGATTCCAAATCCAGTCACTCTCCTGTAGCCAAGGCTGACCTTGAACATCTGATCCTCCTTCCAACCACCTCCCAAGTGCTAGAATTACAGGTGTATATTACCACACCTAGCTTAGGACTCAGGGATTTTTAAATGGTGTAATAATCAACTGTAGCCCCCCACCCCCATTTCTTACTTTAATTTTTTTTTTTGTCTTTTTGAGACAGGGTCTCCCTGTAGCCCCAGCTGTCCTGGAACTCACTGTGTAGACCAGGCTGGCCTTGAACTCACAGAGATCCACCTGTCTCTGCCTCCCGAGTGCTGGGATTAAAGGCGTGCGCCACAACGCCCAGCTAAAATTTTTTTAAAATTTATTTCTATTTTATGTGTCTGAGTGTTTTGCCTGTGTACCATATGTGTGCAGTGCCTGCAGAGGCCAGAAGATGGCATTAAATCCCTTGGAACTGGAGTTATAAACAGTTATTAGCCAAACCCCAATCCTCTGCAAGAGCTGCCATTGCTCTTAACTGCCAGGTCATCTCTCCTGCCCGAAGCCTAGCTTTTTAACCCCCTTACTGCCGAGTCTTACCCAGTTCTCTTAGATGTCTTTCCAAGTTCAGCTTACTTCAAACTTGGAAACACTCATATTTGGTCAGCTTAGGGAATACTCAAAGGACAAAACAAGTGGCAATTACAGTGTTTGAGAAGAACATTCAGGCACCTGTCCCCCATCTCAGATTTGATCAGTGTCTGCCTGAGGTTTAGAACTAGAAAGCCTGAGTCTTGCCCATCAAGGGACTCTGAACTTGTCCTCAGTCTTTCTGTCCATATCTTCATCTGGGGAGACAGCTTTTGCTATGCTTACCCCACAAGCCTGTCGTGGAGCTGAATGTGCTGTATTGTTCAGGAATGTTTCTACTAGTGTGGAAAGCAATGGGCCCTAGGCCTTCTGCCACATCTGGTAGAGAATCTAAGGGGTGGAGCCTAGCAGTGAGAACTCAAGCCATATTCAAGACCCTTAGTGTTATGTACTAAGTAGAGTGAACCTTAAAAAGAAGCTTATGGGGAGGGAGTTGGAGGGATGACTCAGTGGTTAAGAGCACTAGCTGCTCTTACAGAGGACCCAGGTTCAGTTCCCAGCACCCACATGGGGGCTAACAGCAGTCTGTAACTCCAGTTCCCGGGATCCAATGCCCTCTACTGTCCTCTGCAGGCACTGCATGCATGTGGTGTACAGACATACATGCAGGCAAGGCATTCATACACATAAAATAAAAAATAGAAATTAAAAAATTTTAAAAGAAGCTTATGGATCAGCAAAATGGCTCGGCAGGTAAAGGTGCTTGCCAACTCTGATCACCTGAGACCACATGGTGGAAGGAGAGAACCAACTCCTGCAGGTGCCCTCTGACCTCCACATGTACACTGTGACACATGTGGGTGGGTGGGTATGCACACACACAAATAAAAATGTAAAAAATAAAAAGCTCAGCTACACCAGGTAGATGCAGTGTTTCCAAGGGATAAAAGAGACATGATCAGATTATGTCAAAAACCTCATTGGAAGCCTGTCAGATAGTGTCTTTGTGGGGCTACTTTTGAACTGAAACTTCCTTTCACTTACTAGCAATGTTTAGATACTCACTGTATGCAGACACCTTCCAGGCTCTGGATACAATGGGAGCATAGAGATCCTGCCAATGAGGCCTTTGCTATCAGTTGGATAAAGAATAATAGCTCAGAGAGAGCATTCCATGGGCCAAGAGCTGTTTTGTTTTGTTTTTTTGGTCTTTTTGAGACAGGGTCTCCCTGTAGCCCCAGCAGTCCTGGAACTCACTATGTAGACCAGGCTGGCCTTGAACTCACAGAGATCCACCTGTCTCTGCCTCCCAAGTGCTGGGATTAAAGGCCTGCACCACCATGCGTTGCACTTGTTTTGCTTTTTTAATGTGTATGTATGTATGCCTGAATGCATGTATATGCATCACATGCATATAGGTGCCTGCAAAGGCCAGAAGAGGCATTAAATCCCCTGGAACTGGAGTTACAGACTGTTAGCCGCCATGTGGGTTCCGGGCACCAAACACACGTCCTCTGCAAGAGCGCTCTTAACCACTGAGCCATCTCTGTGCTGTGTTAAGTGGCTCTTTTCATGTCAGCATGTTGAATCTTCCCCTCAGCACACTCATGAGGAATTCATTGCCTTTGTCCTCATATACATGTGAGAAAACAGACACAGAGTGGTCAAGGGCTTCTGGCTGGCAAGGGGCAGAGCCAGCATCCCAGGTTGCTGGCCCCTAAGCCAACAACCTTAACTTCAGTCAGAATACTGGGGCAGCACTGTAAGGTCGCCCTTGCTTCTCTAGGCAATTTGCATCCATCAGCCATTTTTCCTAAGACACTGTTTTGGGGGAGGGGCTGATGTGGAGTCAGGGCTGTGAGTGAGGTGACAGCTGTCTGAGGCCTCTCCCACTCTGCATTTCTTTCAGACCTACACAGTGGACATCTTCTCTGCAGGCTGTGTCTTCTACTATGTCATCTCTGAGGGTAGCCACCCTTTCGGCAAGTCCCTGCAGCGTCAGGCCAACATCCTCCTGGGCGCCTGCAGCCTTGACTGCTTCTGCTCTGACAAACACGGTGAGTAGGTGGCCCCAGTGGCAATCCCTTCACCCAGCTGCTTCCCTGGGCTTTAGGAAATGCTGGCTTGTGCAGAACCAATGGGGGCTGGCTAGGATCACCCTTGGAGCATTGAGAAGATCTCAAGTTCCTCCAGATCACCAAATGGCCTGGGCAAGGCCCCCTCTGGAGACCTTTCTTTCCTATATTGTGATCAGAAGGCATCTGCACTGGCATATGGGAAGACTTGCACTCTGTGAACTGGACTCTTCTGTGTGAGGGCCGTGGTTACAAGACACAGTGTGTCTAGTAGCAGATAGACAAGTTCTGTCCTTGCTCCTCTGACTTGGGTCAATAAGTACTTCTTCCTGACTGGGAAATACACTGGGTCGTATTAGGCCATGGCACCCCAATGCTGCTATTTGAAAAGAATTAAACCTAAATTATTGTTTTTTTTTTTAATTATTGTTTTTCTTATTCATTGTAGAAAAACACATTAGCATAATGACCCATATTTCCATTCTACAAGGGTAAATATCTCCTGTCAGTGCCTTTCTGATCATATATATATATATATTTTATAAAAATGGGGTTATGGGCTGGCAAGACGGCCCAGCAGATAAAGGCACTTCCTACCAAGCTTGGAGGCCTGAGGTCAGTCCCTGGGACCCACATATAGGAAGGAGAGGACTGACACCCATAAGTTGTCCTCTGATTTCCCCACACACGCTGTGTCATACATATGCCTCCTTCCCCCCAACTAATAAATAAATAATAAATAATAAATAAATAAATAATAAATAAATAAATTTTTAATGGGGTTAAAAGAGGTGGTGAAACATGCCTGTAATCTCAGCACTTAGGAGACTGAGGCAAGAGAATTTCAAATTCAAGACCAGTCTGGAATACATAGCAAGTTCCAGGTCAGCCTGAGCTAATAGGTTCCCAGTGGGGAAAAGTGAGGTTAAATCACACATATGCTTTGCAGCAGGCTCAGTTTTCATCTTCATGTTTATGTTTTATGTTTTATGAGACAGGGTCTCTTTGTGTAGCGTAGGCTGGCTGCAATCTCCCAGTGTAACCCAGGCTGGCCTCAAAATCATGATCTTCCTGCCTCAGCCTCCTGAGTACTGGGCACAAGCCCATCATGTGTTATTCTGAGTGTCTTTCTATATCTATCCATATTTAGCCCAGCCTCATTTTAGCAGCTCACTGTCTAGAATCTTAACCTCTAGTACAGATAATATTTTTAAAGATTTATTATATATATATTTTTAATGTTTTATTTTATGTGTATGTGTGTATTGTCTGCATGTATGTGAGTGCACCCATGTCTGAGTGCACCCGTGCCGTGCAATGCCGCGGACGTTAGAAGGGAGCGTCGCATTCCCCTGGAACTGGGGTTAAGGACGGTTCATAGCCGCCATGTGGGTGCTGGGAATTGAGCCCGGGTCCTCTGCAAGAGCAGTCAGTGCTCTTAACCGCTGAGCCATCTCTCTAGCCCCTTATCATATATTTTTGATGTGTCTTGAGTGTTTTACCTGCCTGTATGTGCACTACATGTTGCACTCAAGGAGGCCCTGGAACTGGATGGTTGTGAGCTGCTATGTAGGTGCTGAGAACTGAACCAGGATCCCCTAGAAGAGCAGCAAGTACTCCTAACTGCTGGTCCTTCTCTCCAGCCCCTAGTACTAGATAGTTTTAATTACTACTTTTCACAAACCACATAGTAAAGATCACTTACCAACTGAAGTTTGGCGTGGGTTCTTCATTGTTTTGTTGGAATCAGTTCTGTAGCAGAACCTTGTATCAAAGGGCATGCAGGACATTGGGAGATGGCGCAGTCTGTTAAGTGCTTACCATGCAAGCATGAGAATTTGAATTTGGATCCTCAGCACCCATGTTTAATACAAAACAAAACAAAACAAAACAAAACAGGTAGCACAGACCTATAATCCCAGCACTGGGGAAGCAGAGACAGGAGGATCCCTAGGGCTAACTGGCTAGCCAGTCTACCTGAATCAGTGAGCTCCAGGTTCAATGAAAGACTGTCTTAAAATTACATAAGGTGGCCAGGAGTAGTGGCACACACCTTTAATCACAGCACTTGGGAAGCAAAGGCAGATGGATCTCTGTGAGTTCAAGGCCAGCCTGGCCTCCATAGCAAATCCAGGCCAGCTGTGGCTACAGGGAGACCCGTCTCAAAAAGACCTAAATTAATTAATTAATTAAAAATAAGTAAATAAATAACAAAAAGGCTTTTTTTTAAAAAAAAAAAATTACATAAGGTGCAGAGCAGCTGAAGAAGATATTTGACACTGACCTCTGTCTTCCACAAACATGCACACACCTGAGCATGCACACACATACACACCAAACACACACATAGAAGGGTGAGACATGCAGACATTTAAGTTTTTTGATATTTAATTTGGTTATATGCAGGAAATAATGGGTTGTTCCTTTTTCTCCTTTTTAGAAGATGTCATTGCTCGTGAGTTGATAGAGAAAATGATTTCGATGGACCCCCAACAGCGACCATCTGCAAAGCGTGTGCTAAGACACCCATTCTTCTGGAGCCTGGAAAAGCAGCTGCAGTTTTTTCAGGTGCCTGTGTTTGCTTCTCCATTGAGATCTTTATGTCTTCAGACCTTGAAAATGTAAAAAGGGCAAAAAACAGAACAAATGACCCATAGCCTGTGATTAAGACAAACATGGTTGACATTTACATTAGGCAGGATTCAGCATATGTGTATTATAAAGCAGGAGCTCTGGGATGGCTTGCATGGTCTAGGCTAGGCTAAGTATTCCAGCAGTGGCCTTCTGCATACCACAGATAATGAGAGATGATACCTGTTCAGTGCACAAAGCTGAATGTCTCAGTATTTCCAATCTAGTGCTGAAGACCTGCAAGATTCCTAGAGAGCCGCTGGGTTTTGAACCTCTCTGTAAGGCTGAGGAAGCTGGGTTCTGATGTCAGCGGGGGATAGCAACAGCAGCAGTAATGAGATAGATGTGCTTAGCAGCAAGAAGCAAAGGCAAGCAAGACTGCTTTTTTCTCAGACCTCTTTGTCTCTGGGCTACCTGTCAGAAGGTGTTGCCTACTCTGGGGGACGGTCTTCTGCCTTCCATTGATCTTCTCTGGATATACTGTTATAGACCCACCCAGAGGTGTGCCTTAATTGATTCCAGATCTGATCAAATTAACAATCAAAATTAACAGTCACAACATTAAAATTTTTTTTCATACTAACAAAAGTGGAACTGGGATCAAACTATATATACCGTGTTAGAGCCTGCGTTTTCAAACTGTACACATAAGTATTTAAGTACGTTAAAATTATAAAATGTTAATGACTATAGCATTCTATTATATGAATGTGCCCTAATCCTTGAACTTTCTTTTACGAAATTTCTTTTATTTCTTTTATTTTTTATTCTATTTTATTT